TTTCGAGCCTATACAGCTTGGAGTAAGACAACATGCATGAAGAGGATGATGTGGACAAAATACTCATTTGCCTAATAATTCTGCACTCCCTGTATATACCTTTTTACAAGAAACTCACCTAGAAGACAGTGAATATCTTAGGCTAAAAACCTAGTTGGGTGGGTCAAGTATGTTTTTCTTCTTTCACAGCAAGTAGTAGCATAAATGTAGCTGTATTAATACATAAATGGTAAAGGTTGGTAAAGTGAGCTAGAGATAAATATGTGACAGGTTTTGATTTTTCAGGGAGTCTTACATGGTGAGGAAATTACCATTATGAACATTTACTGTTCACTAAATTATTCTTCAGAGTTCATACTCAAAACATTTCTAAAATTTGTAGAACTATCCTCAACAAAGGTCTTGATAGGAAGAGATTTCAATCGTTTATTTAATCCTTTAGTCGACAAACATCCGCTGTGAAACAGACTGTGGGCAGGCACAGGGGTTTGGCGCATTTGAGAATTATGTCTAAGATCTACAGTTCCTCATCATCCATATCGCCAGACAACAAGGCAAAGCAGTGGAAATCTTTCTGTCAGATGACATCATTTATCCAATGAAATAGAGTTGAAATTAGTTGTAGACCATGCATTATGTCTTGTTTTTTTTTGTCTTTTTACTTTACACATCGCCCCAAAGTTCAGGGATTGCAAGGGGTGGGTTTAAAAAAATTGATTTTCCTATTCAAATCAGTTTTAGTTTGAATAATGCAATATCGATTCATTAAATCCTGAATTGATTTTTAAATATATTTATTTAGCCAGAAACACCAGAATCTCAGCTTAAAGCTCACAAAACTATTTCAAAAAACCACCAAAGAGTTATAACACCAAATGATTAAAGAGCAGGTAAACACATTCCACAGAAAGATGTAAATGCAAAGCGCAACCCGGCGGCACGAACACAGACAACTCATCGGGTGCTAAAAGTCGACATCTCACAGATTCTGAAGCTGCAGGTTTGTCACCCTCCAACCAAAATTCACTGAAAAAGCAGCAAATGAAGATCAAACTACGCTTCGCATTTGAAAAATATTGTCATAAATTCCCACAGGGTACTTCCAGTTTACCACCAAAAATTTGTGTTTCTGCATTATTCACTTGCTTACTAGGCACCAGTCTACCGTTGTGTGTGGTGCTGTCGACTTTTTTTTTTTTTAATGAACTCCGACCAGAAAGCCTAATTTCTGCTGTTCAATACCAAATAAGTGTAAACTTTTACAAAATATGCCAAATTGCAAAACGCTGAGCTATGTCTTTAATAAAACCTCTGTAACTTAGCTCTGCTTCACTTCAGCAGCATCAGGTAATGTTTATCTGTTGATTCATGGATTTCTTCTGTTTTTGACATTCTGCAGAATATTTTTAAGCTGGTTATCTGCTATAAAAAGCCAGGCCAGGAAAATCTCCTTTATGTTTTTCTGTGTTTTATCCTCAGCTACTTTGACACAAAGGCATCTGTTATGATGCTTACACCTCTGATACAGTCTCACAACTGTCAGCTTTGGTTTTATACATAGACATAAAAAAATTTAAAGTATATGGATATATACTGATAAATGATCATAATTATAATATGTCTGACTGTCTGAGTTAAATTGAATCGAATTGAAATCTTGAAATTGAATTAGTTATAGTAATGAGTGATGATATCCAGCCCAAACTGTAAGGATTGTTCTTAAAAAGCAGGCAAAGTAGGGCCTCCACATAACCCTACTAACATGGTGTCTCAACACAGTGCGGGACTTTTCTTACTAAATCTGTCCTTATAGTGATATAAATCTCATAAATACACCATATCTGTATACCAAAGCCAATCTATAGATCAGTTGTCCTTTTCTATCATGCCACGAGAGTAGCCTGCAGTCATCGTCTCTGCTGCACTTCTCAGTCCTGAAAAGTAGCATCCGGTTTTGGGGGAAAAAAACATCTAATGCAGTTACCATGCTTAAAGTGGCTACATATTCACTCACTGTCAGTCACCGCTAACCGCGCGGAAAGCTTTGAGTTACTAGTACACCTCAGTGTCATTAAAAATATATAAATAAAAGGTTCTTATTTTTTTTGTTTTGTTTTCCAGGTCCCTTCAGTGTTTTTAGCCTGTGTCACAACAAGCCAGGGCCTCATACTCTACGATATCTTCTCCATGACTCTGTGGAACACTGCTAACACAACAGTTTTAACTAACGCACCGAGAAATATACTTACTTGATTCGAGACCCCATCCTCTATTTAGTCTCCCCGCCGTGGCTGGCAGCAGACGCGTCACTCCGTATTTTTCTCAAGCTAACCTGCCCGTCACACACAACAGTACACCGCCATGGTGAATCGCCATGCGTAAGTCACGCTCCACTTTGTGCCGCTCCTGGGATTTGTAGTCTTCTAAATAGAAGACGTGAATGTCAATAACATACAGCTACCTAGTATTAGAAACTACAGCTTCCACAATACGTACAAGACGATTGGGTCGCGTGGTGCTGTAGCCGATAAAGTTTCTGTTACTCAGCATTTACTGTAACGGTAGCTCCAGTGCAGTTTATTACATCATTTTGAGGTTTTATAGCTAATAATTAAAAATAGTTTTGGAGATAATTTATAGTTTAATATAAAGTAGTAATATTTTCTACCAATATTAATTTTGAAATAATCTAAAATATAAATTATATTATTTATGTCACAAACATTTTGTTTTTAAATGTAATGTAATGTAAAAGGAAAATAAATGAAAATGACAGCTACGTGGATTAACAAGAGGAAAAATTGGGGCGGATGCTCCAAAAAACAGCAGATTTGTGTGTCCTGTGTTTTTTCTTACAGTGAAGCTGTTTTTTCCAAAACACTAGAGCAAAATAGAAAAATGATAAAAACAAAAATTCCCACAAAGTTTACATCTTTGTTCTACTATTCTCTAAACTGTTCAAAAATATTTAAATGAACCTTCTGAAAACACATCAGACCTCAATAGGAGAAAAAAATTACACTGGATGTCTATGCTGATGTGGACTGGATAATCTGTTAGGATGCCACATTGTTTGATGGAAATGAAAATTATCAACCTACACAGGGCTAAATTCAAAGACAGTCCAAAAATCAAAGAGGAAAAAACTGATGCAACAGACTAATCTGTTTTTGCTGAAATTTCATTGCTGCAATTCAAAGTGGTATTCAGCAGTTTATATAGCCTCTACATGCTTGTATGCATGACTGACAACATTGGGGCATCCTCCTACTATGATAACAGACAGTATCATGGGGGATGTCCTCCCAGATCTGGACCAGGCCATCACTGCCCCACAAACTGAACCAAAATATAATGTCCAATAGGCTTTCTATTAGAAATAGCTCAGGCGAGTTTGGGGGCAGGAGGAACCTAGTGCACAAGCTTTGGCTGTGACAATGGCTCCAAGGATTTCATCCCAATGTTGAATGGCAGTCAGGGTGCCGTAGCCTAACCTGTAGAGGTCTGTGCGTCCCTCCATGGATATGCCTCACCAGACTATCACTGACACACCACCAAACACCAAAACTTTTACAGGCAGCATGACATTCTCCACAGCTTCTCCAGACCCTTTCACTTCTGTCTCATGTGCTCTTGGTGAATCTGCTCTCATCTATGAAAAGCAAAGGGTGCCAGTGGTTGGCCTGCCAATTCTGATATTCTATGGCAAGTGGGCTCCATGGAGCTGGACAATAAGCACAGAGCCTACTAGATGGCATCGGGCACTCGTGCGTATACACACACACACACACACACACACACATATATATACTTTAAATATATATTTATTTTCTCAGTTTACAGCACTTTTGTTATAAATGTTGGTCAGGTTGTTTTAGTTTAATTATGTTTTGGGTGTGGTTCACACTGCAGAGACAAAAAAGGTGAAGCTTGAACTAGTCTGGCTCTGTCCCTATTCTTAGTTCTGTATCAGCCTGCAAGCCTGGACCATAAGATTTGCAACAACACCTCCTTGAATTCTTTTGTTAAAACCCTGTAATTAAAGGCTGCACTTCAATCGCATATTGACGTTTGATTGATGCTGAATCCACTGTGGTGGTGTACAGAGGCAAAAAATATATAAAATCCCAACAAACAAACAAAAAACAACACTGACCCAAATAACCATGGCAAAATACTATTGCCAAAGCATCAAAAATACATATACAAATAATTAACACAACATAGCTTAAAACAGCACAAGGATAAACGTATATTAATTCAGTTTAATTAAATATGCTTGATAAATAAACAATTGTAAAATGTATGCACCTGTGTGTGTTCAGGTCTCTCATTGTTCTTTGTTCTTTTTTTTTTTACATTTTGATACAAAAGTTTGCTTTAGTAATTTTGTATTACAGATCCGAACAGATTAAATTATGTTCTTCCTTGCTTTGTTGTTTTGTAGTTGTTTCCCACCCCCCGAATGATTAACGTTTAATAGAAATTTCATCTCCGTTTCAACCTCATCTGTCACCACGTTTTTTTCTTTCGTTTCAACATGTTAATTTATACAAATCTATTTTCAGACCAGACTCTTAAAAAAAGCCCCATCCCGTATGCAGGAGACTTAGAAGCAGGGCGCGGAGACTACTGACCCACTTTGCTCAAACACTTCTCACAATTTCGCGTCCACTTTAGCAACCAGAGACTGAAAACTTTGTCGTATCTTTCTGTTATTCAGTTATCAGCGAGCTCTATTGAACAAGCTGCTGGACAGCGAGCGGGGGGGCGGGGGGCGATTGAGAGACACTCGGGGGCGGGAGAGAGACACTCGGGGGCGGGGGTCTGACTCACATTGTTGGTGTGAGGAGTTGCACAACAACACGAACTAACAGAAGTTGTAAAATGTGGAAGGCCTTCACGCCGCAGGACATTACTGACTCCTCTCCAGGTAAGACACAGCCAGTAGTAAGGAGACGGTGGCAGCTCGCAGAATTGTGCAGCAGCTCGCTTCAGTAAGTTCGTGTGTGGCTGAATCATAACACGCGTCATGGAACAGGATACAGCCTCATTTTGGAGAGCTGCACAACCTTCGTAGCAGTTAACTAGTTAGCAGCAACGTTAGCGTGCTGCTTACCCGGACAGAAACGAGACCTTATAGATTCCTGGTCTATAGTTTAAACATATTATTATATTTTTATTTCTATTTTAAACAATCGTGCTGCACCAGGCCCGGAAAAGAGCACGCAGCAGAACACTTGGACTGAAATTCACATCCATTTAATTTCCATGTTTCCATTGCCACTTTAAAGCAATTATCGGCGACCTGTCACTCAAGCTAAATGAAGTAATGGTGAGTGTTATTGGGGTAATTCTCGTCTCTGCAGGCTCTTCTTTCACAACAGGAAACCACTGCAAAACTCGTAACTTCTGCAGCTCCTGGTTTATCTTCCTGTGAATATAATTTTTGTACTTTTGACTTAGACCAATTTGGATTATACATTAAGTTAGTCAATTACAACGTGAGGTAATTGGGTAGAACAGAGATGCGGCATTGGGTGTATTATGTGATAGCATCTCTGGCATTAGTTTAAAAATACACACAAAAAAACCCCAAACAAAACACATCCATATAACAATGACAATATTTATGTATCAAACATGAGTAACAAGCTGTACCCCACCCCTCCTGTCTGGGTGTGTGGTTTCTGTGTAGAAGTGAACATTATATGTAGAAACAGTATAAGAAAACCATTGTACTTGTTTAAATTTCTTGAAGAGGTTTCAACTCTCATCCAAGAGCTTTTGCAGTTCTAAAACCAAATGTTGGAGAGTACCAGGTATTGGGGTTTGTCCTTTAAGATGTTTGTTGACCCACTCCTTATCATATGCTCATCACATGAGCCAAGGTGTGAAAAAAAGGTATGGGTCATTACAACTAGAAGTTTTAGGTGAAACCACTGAGACTTTGCCTCACTCTATCATGTGACCTGTTGAAATTACCCAATTAAGTTTTTGTTCTTTTACCAACACTAGCCAAAAGCCATTGGGCAATAGTTTCATAGAGCACTCGACATCTTTGAATATGAAAGGAAAGGTTGAGTAGTAAGACTGTCTACACAGGAAGCAACTTAATAGTCATGTGGCATCCAGAGATTGCCAATGACATTGAGCAACTTCAATCAACAACGATTTTCTGCTGGCATATGAGGGCGTGGCAGCTATGTCAGATTGTTGTTCTTTTGGCTGCTCCCGTTAGGGGTCCCCACAGCAGATGCCACCATCTTACCTTAGCATGTCTCATCAACCCTCTGCATGCTCTTCTTCACTACATGAAGAGTTATGTTTATGTCAAAAGCTGCATGTGAGAAAAAAGATAATCAGAAACAATGCATTTTAATTTCACAGGTGCGGGTATTCCTTGACACTTTTGCAAAAAGTCAAAAACATATGTGCATACAACTTAGCAAAAATGCATTTGTGGGTTGAGTAGCATAGTTGTGCCCATGAAAATGCCAAACTCTACCAATGCCAAACAGCTTATTCTGCTATTCACTCTTTTTCTTAACTTGTAATCAGATGTCCTGATTAGTGTATGATTAGCGTGGACCTTGTTACAGCGATCAGTTGGTATCTGCTCTAAGCATGTCATATTTGCATTTGGCAATGCATTTATTACTTTCTAGGCTGGACTATTATAATTAATTATTATCAGATTGTTTTGAAAATTCCTTAAAAAAACTTAAATTGATCCAAAACGTTTGCTTTTGGTTTGTTTTTATTGGACTCTTAAGTTGCGAGAGAAGGTACAAAATTGTTTAAATAACTCATCTAGTCATAATAACTTAGCACACACAGAGATACAGTACCAGCTATTTTGAGTCACTTTTAGTGATCTGGTGGTCTGAAAATAGCTTTGGTTTTTTTTCCAGTAAAACTAGAACAAAGGCTTGAATTATTGTAGTCACCACAGGACCCAAACCTGTTGCCGAAACCCAGCAACAGAGTCCTTTTGTAACTGGAGAAAGGTTAATGAAGAGTTAATGACTCCACATTGCAATTAAGTACAGTATCCAGGTGAATGAGTCATTAATAAATTACCCTATTCAAGAGTTGTTATGATTTGGATAACTATCCATAGAAAGTAAATCTGATTCTTGCAATAAACTATAAAAATGCTCTTATATGATGTTCAGTTGGGTAGTTAAACATACCCAACTGTGCAGTCTTGCCCTATGGATGTGACCTGTACACTGCTAAGTTGAACGTTACAGCTGTGACTCAGGGGTTGAGTCGGGTCATCCACCAATCAATCAATCCTTCACTCCTCCATTCAGCATGTTGAAGTGTCTTTGGGCAAATTGAACCCCAATGCTTTCATCATAATGATGTAGGAGTCTGCACGTGACAAGTACAGGGTGGGCCATTTATATGGATACACCGTAATAACATGGGAATGGTTGGTGATATTAAAGTCCTGTTTGTGGCACATTAGTATATGTGAGGGGGGCAAACTCCTCAAGATGGGTGGTGACCATGGTGACCATTTAGAAGTCGGCCATCTTGGATACAACTTTTGTTTTTTCAATAGGAAGAGGGCCATGTGACACATCAAACTTATTGGTAATGTCACAAGAAAAACAATGGTGTGCTCGGTTTCAACGTAACTTTATTCTTTCATTAGTTATTTACAAGTTTCTGACCACATATAAAATGTGTTCAATGTGCTGCCCATTGTGTTGGATTGTCAATGCAACCCTCTTCTCCCACGCTTCACACACTGATAGCAACACCGCAGGAGAAATGCCAGAACAGGCATCCAGTATCCGTAGTTTCAGGTGCTGCACATCTCGTATCTTCACACCATAGACAATTGCCTTCAGATGACCCCAAAGATAAAAGTCTAAGGGGGTCAGATCGGGAGACCTTGGGGGCCATTCAACTGGCCCACGACGACCAATCCACTTTCCAGGAAACTCTTCATCTAGGAATGCTCGGACCTGGCACCCATAATGTGGTGGTGCACCATCTTGCTGGAAAAACTCAGGGAACGTGCCAGCTTCAGTGCATAAAGAGAGAACAATGTTCAAGAATCAGTGACAAAGTTGAAGTTGCACCAGGGCTGGATATTTCAACAAGACAACGACCCTTAACACTGTTCAAAATCAGGCAGAGGATCAAGTACAATGTTCTGGAATGGCCATCTCACTTCCCAGACCCGAATATTATTGAAAAGCTATGGTGTGACTTAAAGCGGGCTGTCCATGCTGTGAAATCATCAAACCTGACTGAACTAATGTTTTGTAAAGACGAAAGGTCCAAAATACCTTCAACCAGAATCCAGACTCTCATTGGAAGCTATAGGAAGTGTTTGGAGGCATTATTTCTGCAAAAGGAGGATCTACTAAATATTGATATAATTTTTCTGTTGGGGTGCCCAAATGTATGCACCTACCTAATTTAGTTTAAGTAACTATTGCACACTTTCTGTAAATCCTAGAAGCTTCATTTCACTTCTCAAATATCATTGTGTTCATCTACTATATGATATATTTAAATGAAATTGCTGATCCAAACAACCAATGATTTATGAAGGAAAATTATCAAGGGTGCCCAGACTTTTGCATACCACTGTATATGAAAGAACACCTAGAGAAGGAAATTCAAGAGCTACATGTCTTAAACTAACAGGTCATTATGATTTTAACTAATTTTATTTTTATCTATATGTGCCAAATCACAGTTATATACAAACTGTAATGGTTATAAAGCATAAAGACTAGGGCTGGGTATCGTCACTGATCTCCCGAATCGATTAGATCCACGATTTGATTCGATTCAATTTGAATCGGGAAATTTTGCCTCAGACAGTCAGAAATATTATAATTCTGATCACGTATCAGTACATATCCATATCTTTTATAAAAAGAAAGCTGAGACTTGCCAGACTTTGACACAAAGGCATCTGCTGTGATGTTTACACCTTTGAAAGAGTAACTGAGGATAAAACGCAGAAAAACATGAAGGCGACTTTCCTGGTCTGGGATTCTATTGCAGAATTTGACCTTAAAAATATTCTGCGGTAGATCAAAAACAAAAGAAAACCATTAATCAACATATGAACATTACCTGATGCTACTGAAGTGAAGCAGAGCAAAGTTACAGAGGTTGTATTAGGGACACAGCTAAGCATTTTGCATAATTTTAAAAAGTTTAAATTTGTTCAGTATTGAACAGCAGAAATGAGGCTTTTTTTTTCGGAAGAAAGGAAAAGGAAAAAAAAACAGCAGCCGACAGCGCTATAAAGAACGGTAGACTTGTGCGTAATAAACAAGCGAATAATGCAGAAAACAGAGGTTTTTAGATTGGAAGCTGTTCTTGAAGTACACAGAGAGAGAGAGAGTGAGAGCTGTGCATGAAGTGTGATTTTTATCGTGCTGGAAGCGAAACAGCAAAAGTAAGGAATTCATGACGATGTTTATGTGAAGCGTAGTTTGCATCTTCTTTTGCTGCTGGTTCAATCAATATTGTTTGGAGAGAGATAAAACCTGCAGCTTCAGAATCTAGCGCAAAAAGGATGTAAACACAAAGCGTGAACCCGCCGAAACATTAGAATCAGCGAGCTGTTGGCTTTCAGCCCCGACCATGTCCATGCCATCGGGTGAGAAAGGTGCCATCTCACTGATTCCGATCTGTCGGCGGGTCCGTGCTTTGTGTTTACATCTTTGTGCAGAATCTGTGTACCTGCTCTCATTTACTGTTTTAGCTGTTTGGTGGTTGTTGAAATTTTGTGAGGTTTAACCTGAGATTTTGGTGTTTTGGGCAAAATAAATTTATATTTAAAAATCGGTTCAGGATTTTAATGAATCGATATCACGTTATCCAAGCTAGAATCGATTTTAATCCCTAAGTCGATAATCAAAACCCACCCCTAATAAAGACCATCCTGTGACCATGTAGTAATACAATAATTCATATAAGTAAAGACCAAGAAATGCATGTACATTTTAGCTGCATAAACAGACATCTTATTTCATATGTATGTACATTCAATTCAGTTTCATACAACCAAATCACAACAACAGTTGCCTGACACTTTATATTAAGATAAAGACCCTACAATAATACAGAGAAAACCCAACAACCAGATGATCCCCTATGAAGAAGCACTTTGGTGAAATGGAGAAAGAAAAATCTTGTAGCTGGTAGAAACCTGTGGCAGAACCGGCCTCAAGGAGGTGCAGCCATCTGCCGTGACCGGTTCAGAGTGCGGGGAGAAGAAAAAAAACAAACACTGTGGAAAAGAGTCAGAGATTAATAGTGATTAAGATTAATAACAAAGATTAATGGTTAAATGCAGGGAGGGGTATAAACACATATTGAGTGAAGAAGAAACACTCAGTGCATCATGGGAATAGCCTAGACCTATTGCAGTGTAACTAAGGGAGGATTCAGGCTCTCCTGATCCAGCCATAACTATATGCTTTATTAAAAAGCAAAATTTTAAACCTAATCTTAAAAGTAGCAAGGGTGTCTGTGTCTTAAATCCAAGTAGAATCTGGTTCCACAGAAAGAGGGCCTGGGAGCTAAAGGCTCTGCCTCCGTTCTACTTTTAAATACCACAAGTAAGTCAGCAGTCTGACAGCGAGGTGCTCTAATGGGGTGATATGCTACTATGAGGTCATTAAGATAACATGGCCTGATTATTCAAGAGCTTGTGGTGGGAGTATTTTAAATTTGGATTTAAATTCTGGATTTAACAGGAAGCTAAGCCAGAAGCAGATATAGGAGAAAAATGCTCTCTCTTTCTAGTCCCTGTCATAACTCTTGCTGCAGCATTTTGAATTAACTGAAGGAGGTAGTTCAACCTAGAAGTAATAAATGTATTAACTAGTTTTTCATGCTTACACTTTATCCCAGTTTCTGCGTATTATGACTGGAGTTTTTTTTTTTTTTTTATGTTTTAAGCAGATGTACCATGATTTTAAATAAGTCATTTCAACTATTCTTTGTTGCAGAGGTGGGTAGGTGTGATGCAAACATGGAGGTGCAGAACAACAACCAGCCCACCTTAGACAAACACAATAATCTCTACAAGATACCAAGCCAGGAAAATCAGGTAGGTAGTAGTAGTAGTATTGACCCAAAAAATAGTATTGGCCTTTTTTCTTTTTCTTTTTCTTTTTTTTTTGCCAAAAGAAGAGCATTACATGTTCCAAAATGTATAGTGTCTATATGACATTGTAAGTTAAAGCACTGTACAAGATAATTTTAGACATTGTGACTAACAGAGTGTAATGTTCTTCTTCTATTAGCATGTGGTAGTTGATGATAACTACCATCAACATATTCAAAATGTTCTGTCTGTATTAGCCTTAGACTTTGAAACAACACATAGTATTGAGAGATATGTTAAAATCACTAAGCTGAAAGAAAAAAATGACATCTATTGAGTTATAATATACTGCTTTGTTTTACTGCTGATTGTGTTTTCTTGTTCAGAAAAATGTTCCAAGCTATAATTACTGCTGCACAATGGCAAACTTCCACATTGAGAAGAAGATCGGTCGGGGTCAGTTCAGTGAGGTCTATAAAGCAACATATCTGCTTGATGGACAGCTGGTGGCACTCAAGAAGGTCCAGGTACAGCTCTTTGTACTTAGTCGCCATACATGTGGTGTTAGATCTCACTGCAGTGCAATGTCATTTCCTGTTTACGTTTATTACAGTGGAAATTGGTGTTTTGCAAGTTAATGTGTTTAACTTGACTACTTAAAGCCTCAGTTTTATGGCATATTTTGCAAATTACTGCATTTATTTTGACATCCTCCTTGTGAAAGCTAAGCCACAGTGAGTCTCATTCCCTCTCTTGTGTGAACCTCTCTTCTGATATATAGAAAGGAAAATATGTGACTATATGAAAGGACTTATGACTATACGCCTAAAACACTGCAAACTTCTTAACTCACGGTAAAAATTAAATTGGCTGCCTGTAAAACCAAGATGCATGAAGCTGTTCTGCTGTGTTACCAGTATAATACCAGTATTCCTCAGGAGTAGAAGTATGTTGGGCTTAGCTTTAAACCTGCAGGGTGAGGATTGAGTGAGGCGACTAGTGGCAGCTATCACAGTTGCACCGAACACAAACTAAGAAATACTTTTTCTTGGGATTTAATGAAATTGTAATTTATTCAAATACTATCCTTCCAAAATTTTATACTCACAAAAGTTCCTGCAAATAGAAAAGCAATAAGACTAGCCTAAAAAGAAAAGTTGATAAATCTTTCCCAAAGTGTTTATTGATTCATATCTTCAACTCTTTCGTCTTAATTGCATCAGAGTAGGGTGCAAGAAAGCATTCCACCTTAACAGCTGTTGATAGCTACTAGTTTTCATGTTAAGTAAAATTCAGACAAAACAAGGAACTCATTGCTTGAATTAACACTGTATTTCATCTTCCACTGACTGATGTTTATTTCCCTTAGGAGCCTAAGATACCTGAGCTCTTGATCTTCCTTCTGTTTAATAAACCAATTAGAGTATAGTTATAGTAATCCATATGAGATCTTTCATGAGATCTTTCTGTCTGCTCCCACGCTACCCAAATGTTCTCCATTATAGTGTTTATTCAAACTCAAAACTCCCTAGACCTGTATAGAGTTAAGTATTTTAATATTTCACTGCACAGAAAGACTTCATCTTCTCTGTTCTCATTCTGAAACATGAGTTTTGTGGAAAACAAACCATCTTTACTTGTTAATAACAATGGTAAATGAGGAAAGCTGTGCCTTTGGCATTCACCCACTCATAACTGTTTATTAATTGACACATTATTCTACCGTGAGAAAGAGGTAGACATGCACATCTACGGAAGATCTCAGAAATACTTATAATTTAATAAAGATAGTCTGACAAAGAAGATGGAGATGGTTTTTTATGATCTATTAATAAAGTCAAACTAAGATTTGATCATGTAATCAGTTGTAATGACTAATGCATGTAATCTTGTTACTGTGGATATATGCTAATCGAAACAGCAGCAACTCAGTGGTGCTGAAAGGTATATACAGGTCTTATACTGACATGCGCTCCCGTCCAGACATCATCTTAAGGGAAGGTCTTGCATATTTCAGCCAGATAATGCTAAACCGCATACTACATCTATTTAAACAGCATGACTTTGTAGAGAAGATGTTAAGTGCTGAACTGATGTGCCTGCAGTCCAGACCTTTTACCAGTTGAAAGCATTTGACTTATTAGGAAACAAAAAAAAGTGACAAAGAATACTTGGGACCTTTAAGCAGCTAGAATCCCGTACTAGACAAGAATGGCACAACATTCCTCTCCATCAACTGGTCTCTTCAGTTCCTACATTTTTATTCACTGTTGTTAAAAAATGCGGGATGTTACACAGTGGTAAACATGACCTTGCCCCAACTTTTTTTTTAGACCTGTTGCTGCCATCAAATTAAAAAATTAGCCAATATTTTTTGTAAAATTGTTCATTTTATCACTTTAAACATTTGGTATTGTTTTATGTGTTCTGTTGTGAATAAAACATGGGTTTATGACATTTGCGAATCATTTTCATTATGTTTTATTTACATTTACATATCTTTTCCAAATTTTGGGGAATTGGGACTGTATTTCCTGACGTGGTTATTTCTTAAAACATTTAATTTTACAATAATGGACTACACAGCACTAGGGGTGAGTTTCAGTACACTAGATATCTATCTGAAAGAACTATAACTAAATGTAAGACAGTGATTCCTCCATTGTTGTTTTCTTAAGCGTCATGAGCCAACACAATGTGGAGGAGCTATCAGAACTTTACTCAAACAGAAGCTGATTATCGTGTCAATAGTGTGACAGTCTCAATATAATACAGCCTTAATAATTACTGATGGTTTATTTAGATTGTTTCTCTTCTATTGACTGCTTTTAGCTGACTTGAGTAATTAATTTTTCCAAATCGTCTTTTCTTCCCTCACCACTAAACTGCTTGTTGAAGATTTGCAGGAGGTCTCTTTCAGTTAAAATGAAGTTCTTTCTTTCCACATTTGCTCACAATGTATCTTTGCAGATCTTCGAGATGATGGATGCTAAGGCTCGTCAGGACTGCATCAAAGAGATTGATTTACTGAAGGTAAAGTCTGTCAAAGCAAATTATACTCTGGTTGATAATACAGTGGGGCAAAAAAGTATTTAGTCAGCCACCGATTGTGCAAGTTCCCCCACTTAAAATGATGACAGAGGTCAGTAATTCGCACCAGAGGTACACTTCAACTGTGAGAGACAGAATGTGAAAAAAAAATCCATGAATCCACATGGTAGGATTTGTAAAG